CATTCCTCCATGGCCTGTGCTCCAGATCCTGCTTCCAGGTTCCTGCCCTGAGTTCCTACCTTGGGCTCCCTGACGAACTGCGACCTGGGAGATGTAAGACAAATAAACCCTTTCCTCCCCAAGTTGATACTGGTCAGAGTGTCTTGTCACAGCAATGAAGAACAAACTAGGACAGGGACCCAGGGCTCCACCTGCACCTTGGTCTGGGCCCCTCTTCTAGCATCACAGTGGTCCAGGTCCCTTGCTGAAGTAGGCAGGTCCCACCTTCTCTAACAGCAAGTGTTAAGTCACCCTCTAGAGCAGACTTTAATGAATAGGACAGATTACCTGGCTAATCCCACTTCTAAATCTTCAGGTAGACAAGCATTGGCCTGAAGACACTGGAAAATCTTGGAGACAGTCACTAGTAATAGGGCTTGTGGTTTTTTTGCAGTGCTAGGGCTAAAACCCAGGGCTTCACACATGCTAGGTTAGTCCTCTGAGCTATATACTCCTAGCCCTGGTAAGACTTTAACTCAGTTATCTGCCTTCTAGAACCCTGCTTAAGATGAATCACTATAGCCAGACAGTGTAGAAGTGAACCCAGAAACAGAAAGATAAAATGTGAGCTTATGCCAATTTCCCTCCCTGCTTTTCAGTCGAGATCTTGAGAGCTTAAGGCCTGTGTGGAAGAAGCTGTGTCTGCACTGGGTGGGGGCGGGGGCTGTCACAAAGGACCAGGAGCATGGCTGGATCTGCATTTTGAAGTTTGTGTAGGAGTACTGGTGTGTTAGGTAGTTCTGGTCCAGGTGGGAGCCCACACTTCATGCTGGAAAGGGGATGTGGGGAGCAGATAGCACTGTGGAGGCTGGTGAAGCCAGCTTCATCTCACTAACAATGCATCCAGGAAACCAATGGACAGGATCCATGGATCAAGATGGTGCTGCTTTGCCGGTGGATGTCCCATTTTCTTCCCTCTGTGGAACTAAAACCTCTACACCAGTGGACAGTAGTTAACACAGAAACTCACAAGTGATCAAAATGCAGAGAAAAAGTATCTGTGGAGTGCTTAGCCATAAACGACATCTGTGTCACACTCCCTTACCTCCAAGGCTCAGCCCATTGTGGAAAAAGGGCAGAAAGACTGTAGGACGCAGAGGTCAGAGATCACGAGCCCCCACCTCTGAGGAGCTATTGACAGTTGATGGCTTTGGGGGTAGGGAGACTTGGTTTTCTTTAAGGGTATGGCATCTGGTAGATTGACCATGCCCCAGTGGATGGCCACATACCCATGAGTGTGGCAGCACAGGTAGAATCAGTGAGCCATTAAAAAAGGAAGAAGGGGGTAGGGGGTAAAGATGGGGGAGGGGTCTGAATTTGATTAAGAAGTATGAAATGTACAAAAGTTCAATAAATTTTTTTTTTTAAAAAAGACGAAGTGGGGATCTGGTGGGAGGTGGATCTGGGAGGAGTTAGGGGAGGGGTGATGGTGAATATGATTAAAATACACAATCCATGTACAAAATTATCAAAAATTAATAATAAAAATATTTAAAAACCTTTTCACCTTCCAGGACAGGTTCCAGCTAGCATCAGGATTTTAGTGGGCTTTTATGAGGAATGAACCCAGAGTTTGTTCTTAGTACTGTCGATAAATGAGAGACTTAATCCCGCAGCGTATTTCTGACCAAAGGATAGCTGTTGAATTCTGCTGGACCATAAACTTCACCAACTGGTGACCAAGGGTTCTTACTACAAACTTTTCTAATGTGTGACTGGTGAATCATTTAACGTATCAGCCTTTGTTTCTTCACTTTATAAAATGCTTACCCTATGGTGATCATGAAGAGTAAATGAAGTCGTGAATATTAAACACCATCCCACACATTGTATACACAACAATCAAAACATGGCAGCCATTATTCCTGATATTAATATCATTATCATAACCAAATACAGCAGAAGCAAAGCCATGTCCCTTGACAGCTTGCAGGTGGTATCCAGGGGCTGGAACTGTGTCCAGGGAAGGGCTGTTTTCTCTGCAGAAACATTGCATCCATATTCTGAGTTCTGCTGGACCTCACCAACAGGAAGGGGCATCTCCTGGTCTGCTTATCAGTGAACAGCATGATCTGAGCTTTTGTTTCCATCTATAGGATATTATTCCATGGTACGACCCCTGAAGAAAATGCTACTCATGATTTTACAAGGATTATTTGCCTCATAGAACTAGTTAAGTATAATCATAGAATGTAAGAGACAGAAAGAACTATAAAGGACATCTAATCTGGTTTCTCTAAAACAATGTTTTCAGATTTATTCATCACCATGAACTTCATTCTAAAAAGAAATTCTGGCTTGGTGTGGTGGTACATGCCTTTAA